AGAGCAGGCTTTTGGGCTAAAGATCTGTGATACTTTTGGATGTTCTAGTATAAACTGAAAAATCCAGCTGGCAATTTCTCTCACAGTGAAAGCCACAGTAGTCATGGAAGTGCCCAGTGACTGGAGAGGGCTGTTTCTTCCACAGCAAACAGATCAGGTCATGTGGAGCTGATCAGGTCCTTGTCTCAGGCAAACCTATCTCTAGGGTCATCATGAATGAAGGATGATTTCCTGTTTTTGATTCCCCATTAAGTGCTCAACATATTTGTGGATTGGCCACAGAAGAAAGGGAATAGTCATGTCACCAATGTGGGAGAGAGAATGCCAATGGCAGGTGCCCCTAAAATACTTAGCAAAGACTAAGAACTTTAATCTTATCATTTTATCTTGATTTCAGATGCAGCTCAATGTTACCCCTGTCCAGAAGATGAATATCCTAACAAGGACAAGGACCACTGCTTTGCCAAGAAGCTTCACTTCCTTTCCTATCAAGAGATCCTGGGATACACTTTGGCTTCTCTAGCTCTTTTCCTTTCTCTGATCACATCTGCAGTCCTGGTGATTTTCCGTAAACATCATGACACACCGATCATCAAGGCCAACAACCGGGATCTCACATATATCCTCCTTGTCTCCCTCCTGCTCTGCTTCCTCTGCTCCTTCCTCTTTATTGGTCGACCCAGGAAGCTCACCTGTCTCTTCCGACAAACTACCTTTGCCATTCTCTTTTGTCTTGCAGTTTCCTCTGTGTTGGCAAAAACTATCATGGTGGTTCTAGCCTTCATGGCTAGCAAGCCAGGGAACAAGACAAGGAAACTCTTAGGAAAACAACTGACCAATTCCATTGTCTTAGCCTGTCCCCTCATCCAAGCTGTTCTTTGTGCCATCTGGCTGTTAACCTCGCCTCCATTTCCCAACTTGGATTTCCACTCCTTGGTAGGAGAAACTATCTTGGAATGCAAAGAAGGTTCAGCTTCATTTTTTTATACTGTCCTCGCCTACCTAGGTCTCCTGGCTCTCATCAGTTTCATAGTGGCCTTTCTGGCTAGAAAACTGCCTGACAGCTTTAATGAAGCCAAGTTCATTACTTTCAGCATGCTGGTCTTTTGCAGTGTTTGGTTCACCTTCCTCCCCACCTACCTAAGCACCAAAGGGAAGTCCATGGTGGCTGTGGAGATCTTCTCCATCTTGGCCTCTGGATCTGGTCTCTTGGCTTGTATCTTTTTCCCCAAATGCTTCATTATCCTACTGAGGCCTGATTTGAATTGTAGAGAGAATATAATGAGACACAAGAATCTCTGACTTACCCAGGGACTGGGAACTTTTGTTCTGAGTTTTGTATTTCAATTGATTTTTAAAAATAGTGAAATGAGAGAGATGCTTTTCCATTAAATATTTGTAAATCAAGTTATAAGACTCACAATAAAATATCTGTTAATCAGCAATAATCACTCCCTTCTTGATTGTTCCTGGCTATTGTTCTTGATTCTTCTCCTCTTCTTCTGAACCTNGATGCAGGGCTTGGGAAGATCTGTTCCACTCTGGTTGCATGGTGACTTTCTAGTGGATGTCTGGATTCAAACCCAATTCTCTGGCTCAAATGAATGGAGGGTCTTCTCTGGAAGCAGCTGAGTCATCTGTGCAGGGCTGAAAGACATGAGAACAAGGTCTCCTCCTCCCTTTCTCGGTGACTCTCCCAGGAGAGGAAGTACTAGTCAGACAAAGCAAAATGGTGTGTGGGGGGGATAACTTGCAGGCAGTTTGAAAAAACATTAAGGACATTAAGCAGTATTCCAGTACTTGAGGGGCTGCCACAAAGAAGAGGGGGGTCAAATTATTCTCCAAAGCACCAGAGGGCAGGACAAAAAACAATGGTTGGAAACTGACCAAAGAGAGAAGCAACCTGGAATTAAGGAGAAAGTTCCAATCCATGCCTCCCTCCTGGGTGTCTACTAATCTATCTGGGCTTCCCTCCAATAGGGTCCCCCGGCCAAACCTCCCTGGGGAGTTTGCTGTGCCAGTCCTGAGAGACAGGCCAGGCTGAGACACCAAAGTCTACCTATAAATGCTGCTTTCATGCGAAGGTTGCAGCCTCAGGATCTTCCAAGCCTGGCTGGGCTTCCCGCCGTCCTCTTTGGCCTAGCCTGAGTTGCTCTGCTGCCAAACTTGGATTTCTTTCCCTGTCCCAACTTGTCTGGGCAGTGGCTTCCCCTCTTCCTTCTGTCCCTTTCAGGGGGGAGCTGGAGAGCCTGAACAGGGCAGGCCTTTTTTGTGGTTGGGGCTGAAGCCCCCAAAGGAGCCATGGGGGACCCTTCCCTCCCTGCCCTCTGGGGGGCTCTTCTGGGACCTCCACCCAATGCAATCTGAAGCATCTCTGGGGCAGGAAATGGATGCAAGACCATTCTAACTGGGGGCACACCAGCCATGCAAGTGATGCCTTTCCCAAGTGAAAACAGTTTTGAGAATTTGAGGAGGATTCATCAGAGGTTTCAGAGTGACTGGATCAATAAGGATGCAGCTTCCCTTGAATAACTCTGATGCTGCTCATAAACAATAAACAGCTGTGCCAATAAAAGTGAATACACATAACAGCTGTACCAATAGAAGTAAATATACATAGCTCTAGGTCAGGGGTGTCAAACTGCTGGCCCGTGGGCTGGTTTCATCATACCGGAGCCGCGCCCACCCCATTGCCAGCAATGGCGAAAAAGCTCCGATATGTCGTGCGATGTCACGTGACGTCGCGAGTTTGACATGCCTGCTCTAGGTTGAACTGGGGGTTCCTTGGTGATCTCTGAGCTTGGCCATTTTCTTGAAGAAGTTTCATTACCAGACTAACATTCATCAGTGTACAGCCACTGAAGGCCATGCAATTTGGAAATTTGATCTCTTTTTAAAGAGAAGAATCAACCATGTTCATTCAGCACTCTGACTCATTTTTTGCATCAGCTCTCAAGTTGGATGACATGGTCTTAGCATTGACCTTCTGCAACAGCAGAAATAGAGGTAACAGCAAGTTAGAGAAATTTTATTGGCAGGTAGAGACTGACAGGTTGGGAGCCACCAACAAATCAGAAAATCAACTGGAAAAATTCCAGGACAGAATAAACAAGGGATAGAGACCTGCACAGAGCCAAATTCCTGTTAAATTCAGCCCAGTACTGATTTATCTAATTTGCTCAAGCTGAGCTGCTGCTTCCCTTGTGACTAGTTACATTCCCAGGTGCAGCCCAAAGATTAGAATAACCAACATAGCAAAGCCCAACCACACAATACACCCATCATACCTACCATGTCATTTCATAAATCAGCATAATCCACTAGAAGTAGACCTTGCTTAGCAACTTCCTCACTTAGTGATCAAAGTTACAATGTAATTGAAGATGTAACTTTACGACTGGTCTTTGCACTTATGACTGTCACAATGTCTTGTTGCCACATGATCGCATTTGCACACATCACAGCTGACTTTCAATAAGCAGAATCAATGGAGAAGCTGGCAGTGTAATCACAAATCATGGTGTGATGTCTCGCTTAATGACTCTTTCACTTAGTAACAGAGTTGCCGGTCCCAATGATGGTTGTTAAGTGAAGACTAGCTATATATGACTGCAAGGGGACCTGTCTTAATGGCTTTCCTAAATCCTATCAAGTTGGTAGGATTCAATAACTATCTAGACCAGGGGTGTCAAACTGCCAGCCCATGGGCTGGATGCGTCATGCCAAAACCGTGCCCACCCCAGCTCCGGCAATGCGGAAAAAGTTGCGACACATCACAACACGTCACATGACGTGGCGAGTTTGACACTTCTGATCTAGACTAACTGGGGTTTTGGAGTCCCTCTGCTAAACCATAATGTGATGTCTTTGGGAATTGGAGATTATGTGAATCAAGCCAATGAAGTAGGGCCAATCTTATTCTAGCTATATCTTTCCATCCATCCATGCATCCAATTTATAATTTTCCCTTGGAGCAGTATATCACAGAAGAGGCATTTTAGCTAACCTGACATATGCATTTAACAAGTTATAGAAATTGCTAATGGTGATCCAGATCCATTCACTCTCTTTTTTCTCTCAGGTTCCATGAGGCTTTTGTAGATTCTCCCCAGCGATTTGAAGCCACATTTTTCAAGCCCTAGACCAAAAATTCTGGCCTATTGAGGAGTTTGAACTGCTGGGCCTTTCTAAAAATGAGCACACTTTTTTGTCTTCAAGAGGACTAGAAACATAGTACATCACTAGTTATCTCGATTTTTCTCTCCTACAGCATATGCCGTACAATCAGACTGTCCTGTGGGGCTTGGACATGGACCTCCTGGGTGATGCTGGAAGGCCTAATTCTGAAGCAAAACAAAGGTACCAGTCCCTTCGACTGGATACACCAACTATCTGGGTTGGGTCCACATGATACATTTAATTGGCTACTGAATTCTCACGTTCGAGGGAATGAACGGTAAATTTGCCACATGGGTTGAATTTACTCTAATCTTCCTCCAAGCTAACCAAGGTTAAAATGAGTTGTGTGAATGGAGCTGCTTGGTCTTAAACTGATCTAGTTATGGGTGTCCTAGGAAAATAGAGAATTTGTTTGCACCTTTGAAAAGTTCCATTCTCAATCCATCCACCCTGCAATTTGTAGATTATAAATTGGATCAAAATCCAATAGGGGATGGGGATATCCATCCATCTTAAACGTGCCAAGTTTGAGAAATATTATTCCCACACATCTGAAGGGCACCAAATTTTTTAAAAAATGCTTTGTATCCTCTTCATGTCAAATTCAGAAGGCAGTAAAGTAAACCGGTTGCACTGCTTGCTCAAGATGTTTTATTGAAGATGCTGCTTAATATCAATTTTTCTTAAGTGTTTGATTGATTGGTTGATTGATTGATTGATTTACTGGAGCTTGTATATCACTTGATTTTAAGTATACTGGCAGACAAAGAAAGAGAGCGGAGGGGGTCTGTGCTGCTATTGGTCTCTTCCCATCTCATTGCTTAGTACTTGATGTAGGAAAGGGTCACGTCTCCTGTGATCTTGAGAGTGCGGATGTGTTCAATAGGAATATAACGATGGGCATAGTTGAAGAAGGGATGGCCATTGGTATAAATCTGGAACTCGTGCTTGTCATAGTGGATCGAGAGCTGAGAAGAGAGGAAGGATGTTATTGCAGCCAAATCAGCACATTTGAATCACCTCTGATCCTCAATGGAGCAGGGTCCGCAGTCCACACCATCTGCAGCTTTCTATACATCTCCAATACATAAGGGGTGAGTGCTTTGATGGGGGGTTGCAATTGTCACACACTGCTTTCTCCCACCACCCCCAAAGGGCAACATAAGGACAATTTTCTAGAGTGAGAGTTAACAAAGGGATTCTGAATGTCTATGGAGATTCTCAGCCATCCAGGTCATAGTTATGCCAAAGATGCTTTTTCACAGGGCAACTGGACTTTCTTGTTTTTCTTTGAAGATGTTTCGCATTGGATGAGAAGTGAAACGTCTTCAAAGAAAAACAAGAAAGTCCAGTTGCCTCGTGAAGAACCATCTTTGGGATTCTGCATGGCCTTCTGGAGTGGCAATTCCACTCTTCTCCACTAGAGAATTTTATTCATCCCACCAGCATTCCAGAGGTTCAGATTTCAATTCCTCAAGGCTGTGCTAGCTGGGAATTTATTTAATTCATTTATTTGTATCCTGCCTTTATTATTTTTTAAAAAAAAATAATTCAAGATGGCAAACAAATTCAACACACATCCCTCCTTGTATTTTCCCTACAACCCCTGATAGAGGTGGATTGAGAAAGAGTGGCTTGCCCAGAGTCACCCAGCTAAGTTGAGATTTAAACTCTCAGTATCTTCCTTTTTAGTCTCGTGCTAAACCACTATCTTCCTGGGCTCAAAGATCACCACAGATGGGGACTGCAGCCAAGAAATTAAAAGATGCTTGCTTCTGGGGAGGAAAGCTATGGCAAATCTAGACAGCGTACTAAAAAGCAGAGACATCACCCTGCCAACAAAAGCACATATAGTCAAGGCCATGGTTTTCCCAGCTGCAATGTATGGATGTGAAAGGTGGACCATAAGAAAGGCTGAGCGACAAAGAATGGAGGCTGTTGAACTCTGGTGCTGGAGAAGACTCCTGCGAGTCCCCTGGACTGCAAGGCGATCAAACCGCTCAGTCCTAGAGGAGATCAACCCCGACTGCTCTTTAGAAGGCCAGATCCTGAAGTTGAAACTCAAATACTTTGGCCACCTGATGAGAAGGAAGGACTCACTGGAGAAGAGCCTGATGCTGGGAAAGATGGAGGGCAAGAGAAGAAGGGGACGACAGAAAAGGAGGTGGCTGGATGGAGTCACTGAAGCAGTAGGCGTGAAATGGACTCCAGAAGATGGTAGAGGACAGGAAGGCCTGGAGGAACATTGTCCGTGGGGTCGCGATGGGTCGGACACGACTTCGCAACTAACAACAACAAACCACTAGACCATATTGGCTCTATGGTATAGAACCCATAATTCTATGGGATTATGGGAGATGGAGTCTTACACCTCTGGTAGGCACCAGCTGGACTGTCTTTCCATTCCCCACTGCCTGCCTGCCTACCTTCTCACCCGCCAACCACTTTGCTGGAATTCAGGTCTGTCTGCCTGAACTGGGTACAACAGGAGTGATAAATGAATTGCATAGCTGTAGCTGCCATATTGACTTTTTTGACCTCCCTGCCAATACCCCTCCCTAATGGAATCAAAGTCAACTCACTTCAAAGTACTGGCCATATTGGAAAGGGTTAAAGGGCAGGTCATTTTCCTCGGGTCCCCACCTGCCATTCAGAAAACTGTTGCGCACCACCGTTCTCTCTTTCATGCGTGGATTAATGCGCAGAGCGATGTCCTGGCCAGCCATAAATTTGATTTCAAACCTCGGAAAGAGAGAAACAAACAGGCATTGAAGACTAGACCTTTGGAATAAATAAAAGGAAATCTGATTCCTCCCCCGCTCTTTAATCCAACAGTAGCCTGCCAGATGCTTCCATAGATGAAGACTAAAAGGGGGAAAAACAGTTTTTGTTCCTTTTTCCAAATGTTATTTATTGCTGCTGAATGTGGAAAATATGTTTAGCTTTTCAGGTATTTATGCATTACATTTACATCCTGACAATCACAGTAACTCTCAGTGAGCTATACATCAGACAAACACATACTAAAAGCATATAATCAGCAGCAGTCTAGAAGGCAATAGCATTCTTCTGACGAAGAATTGCTTATCCCTGATCCCTGCTTAATGACAGGTTGGGTCCTAATCATTCTTTAAAGCTACTTCCTAAGCCAGAGTTGCCCAAACTCTTCAACTTAATAATAATAATAATAATAATAATAATAATAATAATAATAATAACAACAACAACAACAACAACAACAACAACAACAACAACAACAACAATAATAATAATAATAATAATAATAATAATAATAATAATAATAATAATAAAGTTGGAAGGGACCTTGAAGGTCATCTAGTCCAACCCCCTGCTCAGGCAAGAAACCCTATACCATTTCGGACAAATGGCTGTCCAGTCTCTTCTTAAAAACTTCCAGTGTTGGAGAATTCACCGCTTCTGGAGGCAGGTTGTTCCACTGGTTAATTGTTCTAACTGTCAGGAAGTTTCTCCTTAGTTCTAGGTTGCTTCTCTGTTTGGTTAGTTTCCACCCATTGCTTCTTGTCCTGCCTTCAGGTGCTTTGGAAAATAGCTTGACTCCCTCTTCTTTATGGCAGCCCCTGAGATATTGGAACACTGCTATCATGTCGCCCCTCATCCTTCTCTTTGTTAAACTAGACATACCCAATTCCAGCAACCGTTCCTTATATGTTTTAGCCTCCAATCCCCTAATCATCTTTGTTGCTCTTCTCTGTACTCTTTCTAGAGTCTCAACATCTTTTTTACATCCTGATGACCAAAACTGGATGCAGGATTCCAAGTGTGGCCTTACCAAGGCATTGTAAAGTGGTATTAATACTTCACGTGATCTTGATTCCATCCCTCTGTTAATGCAGCCTAGCAATGTGTTGGCCTTTTTGGCAGCTGCAGCACACTGCTGGCTCATATTTAAGAGATTGTCCACTAGGACTCCGAGGTCCCTCTCACAGTTACTACTATTGAGCAAGGTACCCCCTATACTATACCTGTACATTTGGTTTTTCTTGCCTAAATGTAGAACTTGTCAATGCCTTCATGAAATTTCAGATCCCCCACTTTGGGGAACCTTGCCCTAATCTAAGACCCCTTGCTTATTCTTGTGGCAATGAGTTCCACAGACTACGTTCCACATTGTGCTTCCACTCTCCTTAACCTCCTTGTCCTCTGGGCTGAGCCTGAAGATATGCAGAGGAGATGGGAAACTCATAGAAAGGAGATAAATCGGGAAAGGTCTATAATAGGCCCTGACACTGGAGTTTAGCTGTGCCAAAGCTAAACTGGAGTCCTAGTGTTGAACTTGCAGGCAGTGGGGCTGAAATATGTGATGCCGAAAAAAACTGGCAGGATGGGATCCATGGCCCTGACTATGGAAGGACAGTGATGTGCAATGCCTTACAATGCCTTGGTAAGGCCATTACAATGCTTTGTTAGGCCACACTTGGAATACTGCATCCAGTTTTCATCACCGCGATGTAAAAAAGATGTTGAGACTCTAGAAAGAGTGCAGAGAAGAGCAACAAAAATTATCAGGGGACTGGAGGCTAAAACATATAAGGAACGGTTGCTGGAATTGGGTATGTCTAGTTTAACGAAGAGAAGGACGAGGAGGGACATGATAGCAGTGTTCCAATATCTCAGGGGCTGCCCCAAAGAAGAGGGAGTCAAGCTGTTCTCCAAAGAGCCTGAAGGCAGGACAAGAAGCAATGGATGGAAACTAATCAAGGAGAGAAGCAACCTAGAACTAAGGAGAAACTTCCTGACAGTGAGAACAATTTAACCAGTGGAACAACCTGCCTCCAGAAGCGGTTAATGCTCCAACACTGGAAGTTTTTAAGAAGAGACTGGACAGCCATTTGTCTGAAATGGTATAGGGTTTCCTGCCTGAACAGGGGGTTGGACTAGATGACCTACAAGGTCCCTTCCAACTTTTATTATTATTATTATTATTATTATTATTATTATTATTATTATTATTATTATTATTATTATTATTATTATTATTGTTGTTGTTGTTGTTGTTGTTGTTGTTGTTGTTGTTGTTGTTGTTGTTGTTGTTGTTGTTGTTGTTATCAATGGTTACATTTCCATTTCTCCTCCTGATTCCCAAAATGCATGTGAAGAAAAGAGAGCTGAGACCTTTTAGTGTTCTTTGGAATAAAGCCTTGCACTGAGATTGTCCTGCTGGCTCCCAGATCTCTAGGAATGTAGCCCATGTAAGGCATCGTCTGAAATAGACAAGAATCCAGATTATACTTAACACACTCCTTTGACTCTGTGGCCCCTATCCCTGCTAGCGGGGGGTAAAGGTAGTTGTAATCCAGTAAGTTTTGGGATACCAAGCAGGAGACAAACAAAATGGGTGGAAGGCAACTTCTGGAATCTTGTCTCACGTGGATTTTTCCTGCATTCCTTTGTGCATACAAGCATCTCTTCCCTTAACCAGGCAAGTAATTTTTGGCCTCAAAAAGTAAGATACCAGTTGGTTCAAGCAATTTGTTTGCTCAGCAGGATGTGGTCAAAACAGTCAAGATGGCAGCCTGGATGGTGCCATCAAAGTCCAGCCTATTGCTTTATGTGCAATGAATACAAAAGAATAGATGGGATTGTGATGGTGTCAGCATGACTGCTGTGTTGACATTTTTAATCCCATGCTGTGAATGCCCTTAGTTTACTGCATCATAAAAGACTGAGTTCCTAGATCAAATCATAAACCTTGGTTTTAAGAGCTGGTTTCCTTGTGCAATATATAGGTCTTTCTTTCTATTCTGCCCCACATTGGCCCAACAGCCTTCTTCCATCCCAACTTCTCTTGTTCAACTAGAAATTTCTTGGGCAATGGGGAATGGGTAGCTTTTAACAGGGAAGAAAGGGACTAAGATTAATCCCCCTCCTCAACCATAAAGAAGCTAATTTTCCCTTAAAAATTCCATTCAGTATTCCTTTTTTCTCTCCATTCTATGTGATAATAGAGGCTTGGAGGACCAAGCACTTAAGTACTTGGCAGTCCTTGTTATTGTTCACTGTGAGCATGATCTAAGCCAGTGGTGGCGAACCTATGGCCCGGGTGCCAGAGGCGGCACTCGGAGCCCTCTCTGTGGGCAAACGTGCTGTTGCCCCAGCCTCACCTCCCCCACAGCCCCCTCCTCTCCAGCAGCCCCCCTGAAGGAGAGTCGCCCCTGAGCATGGCCCATGCGGAGCAGCGCAGCCAAGGACATGGCAGCCAGGCAGCGTAGACAAGACTCTGCCCTCACACCCCATCATGCACAGTTAATGCAGCAGGATGCGGGCAGAGGGCGTGACCGCCATAGCACTGCTGGGCTGCCTGGATGATCTGCGGCGGGCCCTGCAGGCGGTGAGTGGCCCTGCAGGCAGGCAGGGTGGGGGATAGGGGGCAGAGTTGGGATGGGGCCAGTTTTTGGGCACTCGGTCTCTAAAAGGTTCGCCATCACTGATCTAAGTCAAAACACAAGGAAATACAAGGCTCCTTGAATTCCACCTGAATGCATGCAAACTCTCCACTCCTGGTTTCTATCCCATCCTGCAAATCTGGGCTAATGTAAGGAGAGACAGGCTGGGTTAGCAAGTCTCTTGGTACTTACTGGGTAGTAGATCACAGAACCCATCAGTATCTGGTAAGAAAGAAATCCAAAGAGGCTGTTAACAATGCCACATTAACAGAGCTAAAATCCATAGCCATAGGCCTGGGTGTCTTTGCCCACTGCCCACTGCTTTTTTTCCCCTTCTGAGTACTTACAGGAAGATTTTTTGGTGTTCCATATCCATTGTTTGGCATCATACTCTAAAGGGTAGGAAAACAACAATGGATGAGTCTGGAAGTTGAGTCGTGTCAACTGGACTTCTTTTCTTTTTGGTTTGAAATGTTTCTCTGTGAAGCTACTTGGATAAGCAGCAAAATATTTCAAAGCAAAAAAAAAAAGAGGTCCAGTTGCTGTGACTCAACTTCCAGAGAACTCTACCTAAATGAATGAGAATCTTCATCAACAATGGCTGAGTCTGTGTGGCACATTTTACCCAAGTCAGTTGAAGCCTTCCTGGGTGCCTTTGTATCACTTGCTCAACTCAGTTTTAACCTGGATTGGTTAGACAGTTCAGCCTGTTGCATATCACTCTGCTATGTGAATGGAGGAAATGGACTAATGTTATGTTGACCTTGTGGTGCTTAAGGGTGTCAGGAATTCTATCCTGCTACAGAGTCAGATAAAAGAACAGTGATATCATGGCTCAGACCATAAGAAAGGCTGAGCGACAAAGAATTGAGGGCTTTGAACTAGGGTGCTGGAGAAGACTCCTGTGAGTCCCTTGGACTGCAAGGCATTCAAACCGGTCAGTCCTAAAGGAGATCAACCCCGACTGCTCTTTAGAAGGCCAGATCCTGAAGTTGAAATTCAAATACTTTGGCCACTTAATGAGAAGGAAGGACTCACTGGAGAAGGGCCTAATGCTGGGAAAGATTGAGGGCAATAGAAGAAGGGGACAACAGAGAATGAGGTGGCTGGATGGAGTCACTGAAGCAGTAGGCGTGAGCTTCGATGGACTCCAGAAGATGGTAGAGGACAGGAAGACCTGGAGGAATGTTGTCCATGGGGTCGCGATGGGTCGGACACGACTTCGTAATTAACAACAACAACAACAATCATGGCTCAGGCTCAGAATGAGCAGAGATCAAACTTGTTCAGAATCAATTCCCAAAGATATCAAGGATCAGGAGGTGCCAATTTGTTTGTAGTAAACACATACCATGTTCCCTATCATTGGTCCTCCTATCACGGTCAAAGATTGCAGCTCCAAGTGTCCATCAACATTGATGTCCCTCACGCTTTGTGGTGGCATTCTGTGCTTATAAGTACAGAAGGGCTTCCTGTTCACCAGGACCTATTAGAGGGCAAAGCAGAAGAGATCAAGTCTCAGTTGGAATCATCAATTTTCTTTGCAGAAAAACCATGTTTATTCTTGCCAGTGACACATCCCACCCCAGAGCTGAGCAGAGTAAGCAGAGTCATTGAGGGGATCAAAAAGGTTAAAATGAATACATATAATAATAATAATAATAATAATAATAATAATAATAATAATAATAATAATAATAATAATAATAATAATAATAATAATAATAATAATAATAATAATAATACAAAAAGTTGGAAGAGACCTTGGAGATCATCTAGTCCAACCCCCTGCTCAGGCAGGAAGCCCTGCACCATTTCGGACAAATGGCTGTCCAGTCTCTTCTTAAAAACTTCCAGTGTTGGAGCATTAACCACTTCTGGAAGCAGGTTGTTCCACTGGTTAATTGTTCTCACTGTCAGGAAGTTTCTCCTTAGTTCCAGGTTGCTTCTCTCCTTGATCAGTTTCCATCCGTTGCTCCTTGTCCTGCCTTCAGGTGCCTTGGAAAATAGCTTGACTCCCTCTTCTCTTTGGCAGCCCCTGAGATATTGGAAGACTGCTATCATGTCCCCCCTCTTCATTAAACTAGACATATTTCTCTTCATTAAACTAGACATACCCAATTACAGCAGCCGTTCCTTATATGCTTTAGCCTCCAGTCCCCTAATCATCTTTGTTGATGTAAAAAGGGGGAGGCCTTCATTTCCCTCATATCTATTTTTTCCCCCTGGACCAAACATTCTGCAGCAGGTCATCCTCATTTAGTGACTGTGAGGACACTGATGAAATAGTAACCTTGCAACCAATCCTGGCATTTACAGTACAACCTTCACAGGACTGCAAAGAAAAGAAAAGTTGAAGTCTGATCATAAACACAGTCATCAAGTGACCACATCACTTAATGACTAAGCTGCTGGCTTCAGTGGTCCATAAAGAAGACCTGCCTGTACATCACTTAAACCAGACATGTCAAACACAAGGTCCGGGGGGCGGATGCGGCCCGCGAAGTGGTTTCATGTGGCCCGCGAAGCCATCCTGGAAACAGTGAGGGAACGGCCCCCGCTGCCTTGGCCCTGGCCCAGGCCAGCCGGGAGGGAGCCAATGTTCAATTTTGTGGTGGCCATCTATGCTGAAATGCATTCAGTCTTAGCTCCACAAGGCCGTCTGGAAACAGCGAGGAACCAGCCCCTGCCGTGTCGGCCCCGTCCCCTGGGTGCATGCTGGGGAGGTGTCACCCTTTGTGGGGAATGAAGAAATGCACCATCGCCTGGAAGTGGCCAGCAAATGGTCCTCATCTACTTCACATATCCGGCTTGGTGGGCTCTGCCCTGGTCCCACCCCTTTCTGCCAGAGACCCTCAGATCTGTCCCAGAGACCCTCAGATCTGCGAATGATGTAGAGCTGGCCATGCCCACCCAGTAGGCCACACCCACTCCATCCACGCCCACCCAGTAGGCCGCACCCCCCCGCACCCCCCGAGGGCAACCGCAATGCTGATGCAGCCCTCAATGAAATTGAGTTTGACACTCCTGACTTAAACCCTATCTGGAAGATATGAAGCTGGGAAAGTCGATATTAGATACCGTACATTTCTGGTTCATTCCAGATAAATGGTGAATTCTAGGGAGGACATGAAGAGGCAGCTGCAGTTGCAAAAGGAGCCTTTGCCACATGTACCAACCTGGTATCTGGCCTCAGTGACAATAAAGATGACTTCGAAATGCTCGCCCTTTCGGAGGACCATGTTGCGTTTATCTTCCCTTCCCCACCTGCCATCCTGAAATGTGTTGAGCCCGATGTGATTCCAAACAAAGGTAGGGATGAAGTGGAGGGGAATATCAGCCCCCTCACAAGCAAAGTTCACCCGAAACAACTCTGAAAAACTGGAAGAGAGAGAGGAAAAAAGTAGAGGAAAATTATATGAGATGTGCAGGAATCGCAGAGTAGAGTTATGTCCTCCCCTCCTTCTCTATTGGCCTGAATCTGGAATCTGTAGGATGCTGAATTTTTGCTTGAGGAAAAGAATCAAGTTCCTCACCCTCATGACTTAGTTGGAGTTGGAAGAAGCAGGAAGTGGAATTATCCAAAGAATTAAGAAAGGCTTTAATCCTGGCACAAGTTTGGATTATATAAACAACCTTAATAACATAATAATCTTTGTACTATAATAATAATAATAATAATAATAATAATAATAATAATAATAATAATAATAATAATAATAATAATAATAATAATAATAATAATAATAATAATAAAGTTGGAAGGGACCTTGGAGGTCATCTAGTCCAAACCCCTGCTCAGGCAGGAAACCCTATACCATTTCAGACAAATGGCTGTCCAGTCTCTTCTTAAAAACTTCC